AAATTAGGAATGCTCAGCCTGTATTTGCCTCCAGGACAAACCTAGCATCTACTCAAGGTGTTGATTTCCACATACTAACGTTTGACAATATTGTTGTTTGTTTTATTTTTGTCATTGGAGACTTCCTTGATTTCTTAATGCACTGCATTTATTGCAAGGAATGTCTAATTCAAGATTTAGCTGTATTAAAATAAAAAGCCATTCTGAGTATCTTTTCTAAAGTATTATTAATAAAAACGATTACATATAAAGGAATGATTTAGACTGGGCACAGTGGCTGACACCTGTAATCCCTTTGGAGATTACAGGTACTTTGGGAGGCCAAGACAAGGGGATCACTTGAACCCAGGAGTTTGAGACCAGGACTAGGCAACACAGGGAGTTCCCATCTCTACAAAAAACAATTTTTTTTAATTAGCTGGGTGTGGTTGCATGTGCCTGTAGACCCAGCTTCTTGGTTGGGTGAGGCAGAATTGCTTAAGCCTGGGAGGTCGTGGCCTGGACAACAGAGTGAGGCCCTGTCTTTAAAAAATATATATATACAAATTTAAAAAAAAAATTTCCCAAATGGTAGCAATAGTTGCTTTCAGATTATAAATAATAGATAACTTGTTTTTCCTTCTGTATCCATATCTTCTATTCATGATTTTGTTTTGTTTCTTTAAAGAAGAAACAATATACGTTGTTTTTTAAAAGAAGTTGTGCATAGGAAAAAATAAAAAAAAAAAAAAGAACTATTTTTTAAAGCATCACTAAAAACACAACAGAATATTTAACAAGCATACATTTGCTTTTCAAATAGAATCTTAATTCATTCTCATAAACATTCTGTGACTTAAGTATCATTATCCTTATTTCTGCAGAAGAGGAAACTGAGGCTCAGAAGGTTAAACAATTTGCCCAAGCAACAGAACTGGCATTTGAATTCAGGAATACTTGTTCCAAGGCCAGTGGTTTTTCCACTGAACCATGTTGCCTCCCACAAGGGAGCATTTTCACATTACCACCTGCTAGTTCTAATTAAGAGATAGTAATTAAACAATTCTCCACTCCTGACAACAATATTTAAGCCACTGGCAATTTAAAAAAAAATAACATGAACAGCTCTTTATCTGCTGGAAGATATTAAACCTAAACACAAACTATAAGAGAGAAAAAGACTTCAGTATGACACAGTTAGATGCTTTTCACATTTAACGGCAAAGCACAGTTCATTACATTATCTATTAACAGGACATGAAGCATAAAAATGTTGTTTAATGACCAACATACTTATAAAAATTTTCAACTTGACAAATAATAAAAGAAATACAAATTAAAGTAACAAGGACATATCTATCAAATTGGCAAAAAAAATTTAAATAGTAATAGCCAGGTAGGGCCAAAGGTCCAATTCTAATATACCTTAGGAGAGAATGTAATCAGTAGAAACTTGCTGTAGGACAATTGATTATATGTACATTGTTTAAATGTATGTGGTTTCTGACCTAGTAATTCCTCATCTAGAAATTTATCCTGATGAAATAATCATAGATATGTGCATAATATTTAGATACCGGGTTGTTCATCTTAATACTTACTTATAATAGCAAAAGAGGGAGGGGAAGCAGAAGAGAAAAAAAAAGAAGATGAAGGAAAGGAGAGACAGAAGGAGGAGGCAGAGGAGAAGGAAGAGAAAGAAGCTGAGATAAATCTAAATCTATAAGATTAAATTAGGTTAATAAATTACATACAGTAGATTGAAGTGATTACCAGAAGTTGTGACTCGGGATGGGCAAATTTTTTTTTTATTTTTTTATTTTTTTTAATTGCACTTTAGGTTCTGGGGTGCATGTGCAGATCATGCAGGATTGTTGCATAGGTACACACATGGCAATATGGTTTGCTGCCTCCATTCACCCGTCACCCACATCTGGCATTTTTCCCCATGTTATCCCTCCCCAACCTCCCCCGTGAAACTGTCCCTCCTTACCCCCACCAACAGACCCCAGTGTGTGATGCTCCCCTCCCTGTGTCCATGTGTTCTCATTGGTCAACACCTACCTATGAGTGAGAACATGCAGTGTTTGATTTTCTGTTCCTGTGTCAGTTTGCTGAGAATGATGGTTTCCAGATTCATTCATGTCCCTACAAAGGACACAAACTCATCATTTCTTATGGATGCATAGTATTCCATGGTGTATATGTGCCACATTTTCCTTGTCCAGTCTATCATTGATGGGCATTAGGATTTGGTACAGGTCTTTGCTATTGTAAACAGTGCCGCTATGAACATACGTGTGCATGTGTCCTTATAATCCTTTGATTTATAATCCTTTGG